TTACTGTGTCCTGGGACCAGCAAGTACTTAAAAAAAAAAAAATCCACAGAAGTAGGTTAGCAGTAGCGAGAATAGTTTGGGTTTGGTTTTTTATTTCCACTTGAGCACACTGTCTTCTTCAGTTTGAGCCAAACCAATTAATATAGGCCATGGGTCATCAAACTTTTTCTACAAAGGGCCAGATAGTAAATATTTTAGGCTTTGTGGGCAAAGAGGCAAAATGGAGCAACTATTGAGCTGAAGGACTACGTGGTCTTTTTCTTTTTTTACATTTTGCATTTAAAAATGTGAAAACTATTCATAGCTCTCAGCCCATACAAGACCAGGTGTGGACTGCACGGCTTGCCAACTGCAGATTCAATCAGGCAGCTATTAAAAGAGTCTAGAAACCTGAGTGCCCAGGCCCCAGGTGTATCACTTATTAAAGGGATGTTTTGGTTCCTTCATGGCTAATAGCAATTCTGAATAAAATAATACTATCTGGAGTCCCTGAATTCAATCCCCAGAGCTACAAAAGAAAAAGAAAACTACCTGATGTTTGCAAAGCAACTTAGAATTTCTTCCACATCTTAATAAATTATCTAACTGCTACCAAGGAGTCCTTCTTAATCCTTTCCCTGTCCTTGTGTCCTTGCCTCCTACCACTAGCAAATTCTTTTTTTTTTTTTTAGTTGTAGATAGATACAATATCTTTATCTTATTTATTTATTTATTTTTATGTGGTGCTGAGGATTGAACCCAGATGGAACGCAGTGCCACGTGCGCGAGGCACTGTTCCACCAGTCGTGAAACAACCACAACCCCAGCCCCTCATCAGCAAATTCTGATGGTCCTCCTCCAGCACATTTCGGAATCAACCACAGGACTCAAAGAGACACTTGCACACCAATGTTCATGGCAGCGTCATCCTTTAGAACAAAAAGGTGGAAACAACCCAGGTGTCCATCAATGGATGAGTGGATGAACAAAACATGATCTGTTTATATAATGGGATGTTATTCAAAAAAAGAGGGAATTCTCCCAGGCACAGCGGCACAAGCTTGTAATCCCAGTGTCTCAGGAGGCTGAGGCAGAAGAATTGCAAGTTCAAAGCCAGCCTCAGTAACTTAGTGAGGCCCTAAGCAATTCAGCAAGACCCTGTCTCAAAACAAAAAATAAAAAAGGGACAGGGGTTATGGCTCAGTGATAGAGCACTTGCCTGGCACGTGTGAGGCTCTGGGTTGGATCCTCAGTATCACATTAAATAAATAAATAAGATAAAGGTATTGTATCCATCTACAACTAAAAAAAAAATTTTTTAATAAATAAATAAAAAGGGCTGGGGCTGGGGTTCAGAGATTAATCACCCCTGTGTTCAATCCCCAGTACAAAAAAAAGAAGGGGTTTTGACACACATTACAACATGGATGAACCCTGAGGACATTGGGATACAGGAGATAAACCAGTTACCAATGGACAAATATTGTAGGATTCTACTTAGGAGGTACCCGGAGAAGCCAAATTCATAGACTGAGAGTTGAATGGCAGTTGCCGGGGCTCTGTGGGTAAAGGGAATGGGCACAGGGTTTAATAAATACTGGGTTTCCATTTGGGGTAATGAGGAAGTTCTTGCAAATGATTGATGGTGATGGTTGGACAACGCTGTGAATGTGTTTTTAATGCCACTGAACTAACTGTATGTACCCTTACAAGTGACTCCTTATATGTTATATATGTTTCACAGTTTAAAATTTTTGTTTTTAATTATTTTTTTAAACCCAACCTCCTGCTCATGTCTCCTGCTACCACCCTAACCTTAGCAACCATGACTTCTGGTCTCTTAACTCATCTCTTGGTGTCTCCCCCACCCCCACCTTGTCCCCTACGCTGCATTCTTCACAGAGCCACAGAAATCCATTTTCACTTTCTTAAAATTCTCCAGTGGTGTTGCTTGTGTGCTTCACAGTCTGAGCAGCCGACCACCCCCATCCTCATCTCCTGAGAGTGTCTGCCATGCAGAACCTGGGCCAGGCCCAGACGGCCACCTCCCATGCCCTGCAGGTTTGAGAAGCCTGGTGCACAGTCACCACTGCCAACCCACCCCCACCCCCAGCCCCGGCTCTCCTTCCTGCCTCCACCGTGGAGCCAGGAAAGCTCCTTCCCACACTCTTCGAAGGGTTCTGCTAGAGGAGAAGCAAGCAGAACTGGCCTTGCATGTAGATGTGATGCCTGGAGCTGCCTCAGCCACACAACCCCGAGTGGAAAGCCCAGAGAGTGGCAGGAATGTCCTCAAGCCACCGAGCCAGTATCAACAGCTGTCAGCTTCAGTTTTTCTTTTCATGTGAGAAAAAAAATAAACTTCTGTTTGTTTATTCCATGGTTGATCTAGTTCTGTGCAACAACTAGGTTCCCATTGCTCCTAAAAAAAAATTCAAACTCCCTTCCAGGACCCACAAGACCCACCCAGCTTGGGCCCTGCCTGACTCTCTGTCTCTTTCTCAGACTGTTCTTCCCTCTATATCCTGTACCCAGCTACAACCTCCCCACCACCCTCACCAGGAAAGTTCTTTACAGGGCCTTGAAGTCATTGGGCTTCCCCTCCCAGTGCCACTAGTGCAGATGTCTCCTCTCCACCAACCCATCGGAAGCTGCTTGAGACCTATCTGTCTTTGATTTGATTCAGAGCACTGAGCCCAGAGGACCCAGGACTGCTTTATCCACTGATCTGGTAATGGCATGTCACCCCAGCCAGGAGCAGGGACCTTGTCTCTGTGGCTCACTGCTGTGTCTTTGGCACCTAGAAGAGTGACAAAAGGAGATATGGGCCCATAAAACATCATTGATTAACAAATGTACTTACAGATACTTGTCACATCCCTCAGGGTATTGAAAACCATCGCAATGCAGATGAACAGAGAGAAGTTCAGAGAGTCCACAGACAATAATGGCTTGTCCAACCACAGTTCAGCAGGTAGTTGTGGAGGGGACACAGGCATCCAGTCCAGACCTCCCCCTTTACCTGCTGCATGACCTTGAGCAAGCCACAACCCCTCCTGGTGCGGCTTCCCCTGTGAAAACCGAACTCTGTGTACACTCCTCATAAGATGATGGCAGGAGTAAAGGAGATCATTCAAGATAGCGCTTGGCACAGTGCCTGGCGCTGAGTAAGCTCTAAAGAAAGTAGTTATTATCATTATTAATTCATACTCATTATTCATTGGCATCTATAATAATACCATTATAATTATTATGTTGCTTAAATATTCTACTCAGTGATAATGAATGATAGAACCAACCCTGGCCCTGTGGTCTCCTGACTCCAGATCCAGCACCCTTGCCAAAAGCTCCTACTGTCCCCAGCCATGGCCCTCCCTCTCCATCCATGCCCAGTGCACTGTGAGCACAGGCACACAGGAGGAGAGACCATGATCTCACTGGGGCAGGTGGCAGGAGGTGGCTCTCTTAAGCTTCTGGACCTGCTAAGGCAGCTGGGGGCCCAGGCGTCCTCTCTGAGTGGAGACCCATTTGGCTCAGCTTGCCATGGTGGCCTCCATAGGACCACATAGGCCTCCATCCCACTCGATCCTGCAAGGACACCCACAGTCTCACCTCCCTGTTCACCAGCCTTGGTAACAGTCTGAAGCTTCAAACACAAATGGCTGTGTGCCCACATCCCCCCTCCACCACCTGCACCCCTTCCCCACCCACATCCCACCCAAGGTTGCTACCTCTGTCATGATGCCCTCTGTCATGATACCTCTGTCAAGAGCCTTCCTCTTCACCATGGGGCAGTAGAGAATAGAGCTTGGCAAGAGGCAAGGCCCTGCCCACACTGGCTGACTGTGGCACCTCAAGCAAGCCACTTAAGCCCTCTAAGCCACATGTATGCACCAGATTCTCCAGGGTCAAGAACAAAGAGAGGGGGTAATCCCAGCAGTTTGGGAGGCTAAGGCAGGAAGATCGCAAGTTCAAAGCCACCCTCAGCAAAATCAAGGTATTGAGCAACTCAGTGAGACCCTGCCTCTAAATAAAGTACAAAATAGGGCTGGGGATGTGGCTCAGTGGTCTAGTACCCCTGAATTCAGTCCCCAGTAACTCCCTCCAAAAAAAGAGAGGAGTGGCTCCACCCAGAACTGGTCATGGCACAGTTCTGGTCATGGCACCAAACAGCGATGACCAGAACTTGCTGAACGTCCACTATACGCCAGGCATTACTCTCCATTCTCTGCCCCTATGGTCTCATTTATGCCTCACAGCAACCCCCCAAAATATGGACTATTATTATCTCCATTTTGCAAGTGAGAAAACAAACAAAATAGAAAGGTCAAGCAACTTGTCCAAAGTCACACAAATAAATAATTGTTAGAACCAGTTTTGGACGTAAGCAATGTGACTCTTACGACTCACATGTCCTCCCCCTGGCTCCATCAGAACCCGCTGGGGTGAGCACAGCATGGCCCACCTAATTGCTCCCCCCCACCCACCCACCAAGAACAGGGGCAGGCTAGGGTTGAGTCCTGCAGAAGAGGCAGAGAGCCTAGGCACTGGCCCAGGTGCCAAGGCCTCCTGGTCCTGGTCCTTTGATCAGCAATGCCAGACAAAGCATCTGCCACCCAAAGGTCAGGCGGCCCCACTTATGAGGTCCTGCCAATGGATGTGGGAGCCAATAATGAGGGCATCATGACAGACAAAGGCCAGTGTGCCAGCTTCTCTCTCCATCCCTCATTCTGGGGACAGAGAGAAGGGCCTGGGAGGGACAGGGGGTGCTCTTGGGGCCAGGTGTTCTGGGTTAATGTCTCACTCCTCCCATGCCTTGCCAAGTTCTGCCTTGGCCTCTTCCTTCCCTCTGCCCTTTCCCTTTCTCTGACCACCTAGAAACCAATGACCTTTCCCCTGCCTTCCAAAGTCGGGTAGAACTGAAGTCGACATGTGCATTCGGTCCTCTTCCCTCCCCTTGCCCGTCTGACAGATGAAGTTAGACCTGAGCATCACAGGATCAAGATGAGCACAGAACGCCACTGTTAGACTTTAGAACATCTTGTCCACAGATTCCCAACAGCAGGTAGTATTGTCCCCCTGAAAGAGTGGGATTATTAGCCTGGGAACTGTCACCATGCCTAAGGATGCTACTGGCCTTTAATAGTTGTACACAGTGAAGACTTGTGTCACCCAAGATGCCAACAGTGCCCCCCACACACACACACACACACATCAATTCCTGTAGATGAGGAGCTAAAGTCCAATGAGGAAAAGTGATTTGGTCAAGGTCACTGGGTCAGAATATGCCTACCAATTTATCTTTCCCTTTTCTTTCTTCAAAGAATCCAGTAACTAGCTCAGTGCCATCCAGCTCGGTTTCCATTGCCCCTCCTCCCTGGCAGGTCCACGTGAGCTGTATGCAAGGTCTGATCCATGAAATCAAGCAGGTGTGTCACTCAGGACTGCCAAGAAATCTCCTTGAAGGGAGGGCTGCAGGCTTTCCCGTACTTCCTCTTCCCCTTACCTGACATGCAGGTAGGAGCAGCCTGGGCAGCATCTTGGACCATAAGGCAATACTCCAAGGGTGAAGGAGCAGCAAGGTAGTAGGTGCTGGAGAGCCTGACAAAGAGGAGTCACCTCCCAGCCATGGGCCTCCTGCCTTCAGATGTCCACTATATGAGAGAGAGAAATAAACTCTCTGTTCACAGCTATTGCTACTTGGGGGATTTTTCTAGCATTTGCAACTAAACTGATAAAGTCCTGTGATTGATTAGGATTAGAATCCATCAAACATATATGAGCATCTAAATGTGTCATGCTGTGTGAAGGGGATTTTCACAGGCATCATCTTAGGAGATAACCTGAGGAGATTTGATTCTCCATCCCATGTTGCAGATAAACTATTCAAAAACACAAAGGTCACCAGGTGTGTTTGCTCAGACCTGTAATCCCAGCAATTTGGGAGGCTGAACCTGGAGGATCACATGTTTGAGGCCAGACTCAGCCACTTAGTGATGTCCTCTGCAACTTAGCAAGATCCTGTCTCAAAATATAAAATAAAAAAGAGGTGGGGTGTGCCTCAGTGGCTAAGCACCCTGGGTTCAATCCCTGGTACCAAAAAAAAAAGGGGTCAAAAAAATTAATTAACGTTCTCATCCAGGGCAAGGAATGAACATGTGGCTAGCCCAGCACTGAGACCAAACCTCCTCCTATTCCTTGACTGTTGCTACTTCTGCTTGTGGCAAGAGATGATTTGGGGCCAAGAGAGTAACTTAAGTCAGAGGTGTCCTTGGCCAGCATGGGGCCCTTTGTGACGAAAATAAGCCCAGGAGGCAGCGAAGCCTTCTTCAGCAGAGGAGGCCAGGGTTGCTATTTCTGGAGGTTTAAGGTCACAGATGCTCATTCTTCCTGTAAACTCCTGGTCACTGTAGACAAGGTGATTCAAGCCAGTTCTCTGCTGAGGAAAACAAAAGGAAGGTGAGCCAAAAAAAATTTGGAAAAGCATCGTCCTGAAAACACAAACAATCACAAACTACGAAGGAATTAGTGGGCCAAGATCTGGGAGAAGACAAGAATCCAGAGAGATGAGCTCAGCCTACAAGGTTGCTTTTTTCTGAAGGATATTTGCTGCCCTGAGAGAAACAGGTCTGTGCTTTGGATCTCTCCCAGGGCGGGAGGGAAAGAAGTGAAAAGCCAGAGCTTATCAGGGGTGAGAATGCTACAAATCCATGTCTTCACAGATCTGAGTCTGCACCCTGGGTGGGGTGCCAGGCCGGCAGGGAAGGAACCTGACATAAACCAGCCCATGCAGACTTGCACTCTGGTTTCTGACCAAGAAATATCAAGCCTTGAAATGGTATTTGTGGCAATCCTAAACTGATAATGTCCCCAAGTGTTTGGCTGAAGCCCATAAAAAGACTCTCTGGATTTGAAATCCTGGGATTCAAAATACTACTCCAAAATTCAAGACAAGAACAAAAAAGAAACAATAGACAACAGAGACAGATCCAAAGGCATATGCAATGTTGGTAATATCAAATACAAAGCAAAACCAACCATGCTTGCTATATTCAAAGGAATGTAAGTCCAAGCTTGAAAAATTAGGCAGGAAACTGGAAACTATAAAAAGTGACATCGCAGATTTGAAAAAGAACCAAATAGAAAGTCTATCTTAGAGAAGAAAAAAAGGAAGAAGAAGAATGAAAAAAGGAAGAAAGAAATTGGGATCCAAGGTATGGAGTTAACAGCAGATTAGATACAGCTAAGAAGAGAATTGGTGAACTGGAAGTTAAGTCTAAAGTCACTACCCAGAATGCAGCACAGAGATTCAAGATGGAAAAATACAGAAGTGAGAATAAGAGACATAGGAAACAGAGTAAAAAATACCTATTATACTTTTAATTGAAGTCCCAGAAGGAGAGGACATATGGCAGGACATTTCTTACCTGAGTCTATCCTGTAGGTTCTTTGACGGTAATGAGGTGATTTTGCCTATAAGTAAGTAGGACAGTGGGCCACACCCTAGTTCAAAACAGCTAACTTTCCTTCCTTTTTTGAGGGTAGGGGAGTAATTGACATTGAACCCAGGGTCTTGCACATGCCAGGTAAGTGCTGTGCTACTGAGTTACGGCCACAGCCCTATCTTTTCCTTCGTTGTCAAAACTCTCTCCAGAGTAGAAGACTATTGACAGCCTGACATGGCAGAGCTTTGCTAAGACATCAGAAGGGGAGGGTGGTGGTACTGTTGCCCTGAGAGATGGGGAAGAGTATCCACAAGGACAGGGTAGGACATCAGATAGGGGAAGACTGGAAGAATAGAACTCAGACCAGAAGAGGTCCCCAGAAACAGGTTTAAGCTGCATTTAACTTCCTCTGCCCCAGGGACCCATGCAGGCTGATCCTCAGTCACTCTTCCAGAAGGTCCTGTCACATGGAATCTAAAGCAGTTCTAGCCACCCCTCCCTCACACATGGCCCTCACCAGGTCCACAGGGCATATGCTCACATTCTTTGCTCTCCGTGTGGTTTTATTTACTTTCTGACTTTGCTACAACCTCACAAGTTGAAAGCAAGAGTCCCTCACCTTAAGACTCCTTGGGTTTGTGTTATTCATGGATTTCTGGGCCTCCCCAACTCCAAGACACATATCAGACCGCCCCCCCCCCAAGAGATGTCCTTGCAGCCTATCTTAGCAGGTTTGAGATGAGGGAAAACCTTCCTTTCCATTGGGATTGGCACCCTAACTACCCAAGGGACTGGGATTCACAGCAGAGCTTTCTACAAAGAAATTTTCTCAAAATGCCCCCTAGATCTTCAGTTCCTGATCCTCATTTACCCTCAGTGCAAGACAGCCATCTCATCTCAAGGACTATCAACCCATCTTCCATCCTACAACTCCTTCCACCAGGGTTATCTTTGCCTTCGTGCCTTAGCCAATACTAGAAGGGACCTGACTTAATATATCATTATATGTGTCACGCTACATCTGAATAGAGAAAAAAATCTGGAAGGAGATACTGCACATGCTAGCAATAGTAATCACCAGAAGTTGATTTATTTATTTCTATTTTTTTATGCTGGGGATCAAACCCAGGACTATGCACATGCTAAGGAAGCACCCTACCACTGAGCAGCACCCCCAGACCCAGAAATTGAGATGGTAGGTTGGTATTGTTTACTTTTTGTAGTTTTCAGATTTTGTAAAATGCATTATTTTATAAGCAAAAGTGTAATCATTTTTTTTTTAAATGTGGTTGCTGGAGCGAGCATTCTTGTTTATCCACCCAACAGCCATTTTCTTCACCCTCACTAAATACCCCTTGCAAGAATTTGTTCATGTATTAGGTGGCTAGAGCTTCAGAGGAGACTGAACTCTCTCTGACCAAAGACCGACCCTGGTCACTTATGGTGATATCGTCCCTGCTGCCAGGCACTGGCTACAGAAGGAACCTAGACCTTATTCTGTCCAATGAGACCAGACTGAGAAGACTCTAGGAAATGCTTCTTTGCTTTAATTAAAAAAAAAAAAAAGATGAGATGTAAATAAACAGTAACACATTCATACAATGGAGTATTTATTATTCAGTACAAAAAATAAATGATCTGTCAAGTCATGAAAAAGACATGGAGGAAACCTCAATTCAAAACCTAAGGGAAAGAAGTCAAAGCAAAAAGCCTACGTATTGTGTAATCCCAAATACATGACATTCTGGAAAAGGCAAAACTATGAGGACAATAAGAAGACGAGTGGTTGCCAGGGGTGGGGGCGGGGGAGGGTGAATATGTGAAGCACAGGGGATTTGTGGGCTGAAACTCCAGCATTCAGAGTGATCCTTCAGGGGTGGAGACAGGATACACAGCCCCAGGAGCAGACCCTAACATGAATCTGGAGCAACAGGGTGAGTCAATGTGGGTTCATCAGCTGTGACCCATCCACCACTCTGGTGCAGTGACAGGAGAGGCTGTATGCATGGAGGGGCAGGGGCTATGTGGGGACATCACTGTAGTTCCTGCTCAATTTTGTTGTGAATCTAAAACTGCTCTTAAAAATAAAATCTATTACAATTAAAAGGTTTTTAAAAGATATAATTCTGTCCTGAATGCTCACTGGTGTTGGGAGATAGGCTGTGGTGTTCCATGATGCAGGGTTGGCAAGGGTGGGCAGGAGCAGGGCATTGGGAGTAGACCATCCCCAACACAGGCACCTGGGGGAGTGCTGGCAGGGAATTTTAAAATATAGTAAAAAAAAAAGGGGGGGGATGGGGATATAGCTCAGTTGGTAGAGTGCTTGCTGTGCATGCAGAAGGCCCTGGGTTCAATCCCCAGCACCACCAAAAAAAAACCCAAAGTCTGACTATGTTTTCTTATCACCAAACAGCAATTTTAAACTCTATCAGTGATTAAAAAAAATACCCTAACCTGAAAATATCCATCATTGGTCCAAGTTCTAAGTATGCACTACAGTTGCTGCAGGACTTGCTAACTTCCAATTAGCACATTTTCCTGCCTTACTCTTTAATAAGCACTGTATTCTACATGACAGTTAATTTGGAAGTCTCCTAGTTTTAGGGGGGCAGACTTTGACATATCCAGACTTGGCTACATGTGGCATTCTTTAAATTAATAGACTATTTTTAGACCCGTTTTAGATTTATAGAAAAACTGAGTGCACAGTTTCCCCTATTATTAACATCTTGCCTTAGTATAGTGTATTTGTTAACAATTGATGGACCAATATTTATACACTGTTATTAACAAAAAGCCAAAGCTAGGAGCTGGGTTGTAGCTCAGTGGTAGAGCACTTGCCTAACATGTGTGAGGCACTGGGTTCGATCCTCAGCATAACATATAAATAAATAAATTTAAAGATCCATGTATAACATATATTTATATATCCATCCATAGCTAACATAAGAGTCTACTCTAAACTGTATTTTCTGTAAGTTTTGACAAATGTATAATGACACGCAGCTACCCTAATAGTATCATACAGAAAGATTTTACTGCCCCCCAAATAATCTGTGCTCTACCTGCTCACCCCTCCTCCCCTGCCAGCCTGGCAACCACTGATCTTTTTACTGTCCCCGTAGTTCTGCCTTTCATAATACCACATAATTGGAAATAAACAGGATATAACAGCCTTTTCACTTTGGCTTCTGTCACTTAGTAATATGCATTTAAGTTTCCTCCGTGTCTTTTCATGGCTTGATAACTCATTCCATTTCTTTTTTTTTTTCTTTCCTGAAGAATATTCTTCTATATGGATATACCATAGTTTATCCATTCATTTTGAGGGTGGGGGTACTGGGAATTTAACCTGGGAGCACTGTATCACTGAGCTACCTTCCCAGTCTTTTTTTTTTTGAGACAGTCTGGAGAAGTTGCTGAGGCTGGCCTTGAACTTGTGATCCTCCTGCCTCAGCCTCCCAAACTGCTGGGATTACAGGTGTGCACCACTACGCCCAGCTCCATTCCTTACTGAAGGGCATCTTGCTTGCTTCTCCTGTGTGTCTATATAGACTCAGAACCATTCAAGGTAACTTCAGGGGCAGTTTGTGTCCCCAACACCTAGGGTACTATACATTCCTGTGTTTAACGAGTACATTCAAAAATAAAAAATGATAGCCTATCGAGTGTGAAAATACACAAACAAAACATAGAACTGAGTTCCTTCAATGCTGTCATTCTCGAGGACCAGTAGGAGGTTCATTTGGTGTTTAAAATGGGTAACCGTGATGCAGAGCGTGAGCTAAGAAATGTATGCTTATCAGTTAAGCGCAGCCATTGTATATACACAAAATGATGAATTTGAAAAATGTGCTTAGACTTGACCTTTCACTTGTGTTTATTTGTTTTAAAACTAAAGATTAAATTATGAAAATAATTGTTACTCATCATTATGTGATTATTAGTGAAAACAATTCTGGCCTATTGATCACTCTAAGATGACTTCCAGGAT